AGCTAACGCAAAACGAAAATGAATAAATATTCCAATGATTGCATTATTTGAAAACGGTACAATTGCCATTCGCATCGATAATTGAACCCATGAAAAACAACGCTTAAATACAACACAACAAAACAACGAACAAACATTTGATTATCGAATGTAATATACTAACGATCAATTATTTTTTGTAGCGAATATTGATCCAATTCAAAAACAATCAAACAAAACAAAACAAAAAAACAAAATTCAACAAAACCGATTAAGCGCATCATCTCGAATCGCTGCGCACAGCAATCGGATCAGAATATTAAAATCAACTGCTTCAACCTGGAAATAAAAAGATCCGCCTGTTTGAGGTGTTATATTCTCAATCCATCCATCCGACCGGCACCAAATCATCAGTTTGATGACGACGAGCTGTGATGTCGTTTCCGTTTCTTCTCCTTTTTGTGCTTCTTTCGTTGCTTCTTCTCGTTACGTTCATCCTCCGACTCCGAGCCATCCTCTCCGTTGTGTCTTTTCGAATGCTTCTTCTTCTTCTTTTTTCTATTTCAAACTCATTTCAAATAAACTGTTTCTAACGACTATTTCCAATACTTCTTTTAAATTTCTCTTCATTTCTACTATTGAGCTATAGTGAAAAACAAACACAAATTACCGTATTTAACGACCTATAAGACGCACTTAAAAGTATCAAATTTTCCCAAAAAACGACAGTGCGCATTATAACCCGGAGCGTCTTATATGTGGATTAATTCTGGTTACTGACCTCGAAGCGATTTTGTATGACACACGGCGCTGATGTCAGATCAATTAAAAAATATCACCCACTAAACAGAAACTAGAAATTTAGTCCTAGGATTAACAGAAGCCAAGCAAACGTAATAAATCACAACACAACAGTAGTTGATTACCTGTGTCTTTCCTCTTCAGAATCTGATGAATATGCTTCTTTCCGCCTTAAATACAAACCAATCATAAAATTTATCAAATCAATCAAATCTCATTGATAGACTATCAAGCACAATACAAACTTCATCAGCTTACATAACTCAAACTAGTCATAAAATTCGTTTAAAATTATTGCTCATATGATGACTGAAATATTTGCTTCGATAACTTTCTTCAATCATCACCTAAGAAAATTTCAATGAAAATTTTAGAAATAGCATCGCTGCAAAAGAACACTGATAATGAAAAAGTGTACTTCTTGCGTCGTGGCTCAGCGCTTCGACTGCGACTTCGCTGTCGTCTGCTCGGTTCAGGTTTACGTTCGGTGAAGCGACGTCTTGGTGGCGGTGATGACCTCAAATGATAGCCATCCTCTTACGTTCATCATTCACACTCTGATATTCTCTATCACACCAAAACACCAAAATCGCATCAATATGCTATCTAACAATTAAACTTTATCAATTTTAAATACCACCGATTTTCTCGCTTCAAATCAATTTCTATATCCATACAAAATTCACGCAAAATTGCGCTCATTGTCAACAACAATAAACTTTCTTTTAGTTATTTGATAATGTAATCATCACTGAAAACATTTGACTTTAATCATCACCCAAACCAAATGATCATCTAATCTTATTCAATTCATTTCTCCCAAAATAACAGAAACTGAGCGTTTTCAAATCATAATCATAGAGGTGTCGCTTCATCATTGTCAAATCTACGCTCACCAAGCAGTACCGATACTGATCAATAGAAACATCTTCCGAATTCTCTAACCTCTTCGGTGACCTCGAAGTGGATCGTTTGCGTCTTCGCTCTTCACGTTGCATTCGTCGATTTGTTGGTGATCTGCTGCCTTCTTTATCATATCGCGATGACAATCGTTGTTTATCCTCGTTATTCTCGTCTCCATCTCGTCTTCTTTCCACCGCACCTGAATCACCAATCTCATTCACAATTCGCTGCTGTATTCCTATACCTAACTCATATCTCACTTCATTCCATGCCTGCCTATTCAATAAATGATTTCTTATCAAACGGCGCTATATGAGCACACAAAAATTTCACTGATATTTCAAAATAATCTTGGTATTCATCGATCTCTACGATGAAACACCGTGTAACTTCTGTTTCGGATCACGATCCAACGTTTTCAACAACGATTTGCTTTCACAAACAAGGCTCTACTAAACTATCACTTCCTCATCTCCCATCCCTCCACGAGGAATAACCCATTTTCGTTCACTATAATCAGTCATTGATTGAACAATTGTTTGCACTATAAGCACCGACCGGAAATCTGAAATTTGTTGCCAAAGGAAGCTATTAGAGCTCATGTATAATTATTCTGAAACTAGTGCAGCACAATAACCAACGAACCTCCTCTATCTTTCTCTCGGTCTCGATCTCGTTCTCTGTCCCTATCCGTTTTACGGTCACCGTCTTCACGTCTTCTGTCCTCTCGTCGTTCATCCTTCCGTCGTTCATCACGTCGATCTGTTGCTCTATCGTCAGTTCGTCGTGCGTCTCTGTCTCTTCTCGAGTCATGATCCCTTTCGGGTCTGCGTCTGTCTGCATCGTTTCGTTCTTTAGGTTTGTCCTCATCCTTCTTGGCCGCAGTCGAATCGTTCTCCTTGGATTTACCACTGTATTTACCGCCTGTTATGGAGTCATATCTATTCTTCCAGTCGGTTCCAGCTGCTTCGGCCGCAGCGCCATTCGAAGTTATGGTCACATTCTTGGCCTGCAATTTTTGTTTTCTCCCTCAACAGGAACAAATTACACTCGAACATCGAACATCATCTTACAATATAGCCATCTGCACAGGATCAATTGCATCGGCATGCTTGCAATTATGTTTCGTAAGCGTTTTGCAAAAATGAAAATGTCATGTGAGAATTTCACATTCAATAAAAACAAAACAAAGAGAAAATCCGCGTATAAGGAAAAATTTATGATAAAGAGAAAAAATCAGATGAAATAAGAAGAGAAACTAATTGTAAGTGACACAAAAAATCTGTCTCGAATGTAGACCTTAACAACAAGTGTAAGAAATTACTGTCAAAAATTACTGATCTAGAACGAATACTACTGCGAGGGATAGATACCTTTTCTTCGATTTCTTTTATCTTCTTCTCAACCAACGATGCCGGTATGCCATCTTCACTGTTTTGTGCCTCCAGAAGCATCGTCCAAAGTTCACCTAAATCAACTCCGTTCATACAAACTCCATTCATCGTAGTCGCTGTTAGATTGGCGTGAGATATTCTTTCACAAATTACAGCTTAGTTTCATAAACTGCAATCAAAAGAGAGCGTAAAATCGATCAGCAAAACAAACAAAAAAAAAACAATTTCATCAAATGATAAACGATATCGAATTCCATTTTTCTTGACACACATTACTGATCAAGTAATCAAAAATTCCTTTACTATACGAAATTGCCTACATCAAAAACTGCGACAGGAATGAAAATTCATGAAAATGTACTACTGAGAGAGGTTCACAACGGGAAATTTCTGAATGTTTAAGGAAGCAAGGAAGAGTTTTTTTGAAAAGAATTTGCAATCTGATACGTAACCAACCCATGAACTCTCTGGCACGTCGTGCATTCAAAAAACCGGTCAGATTGATTTGCATAACTTTCGGATTGATTGTTTTCTCTTCAAGTTGACTGAATACGTACTCAATGAGCACATCGTCTTCCATGCCTAATATCTCATTGACTTTTGCAGTTATCCACGGTTTTAGCACATCCAAATTGATACGACTCATACAAATCTGAAAATGTTCGAAGCCGTAGTAACAACGACACAGCCACATGCGCACACATTCACTCCACTTTTCTGGAAGTATTGGTGAGTGGTGCTAAATTTGATGGTGAAATAATGAATTGACCTTCTCTTCAAGAGCATCTTCGAAACGCATTTGCTTTAATAACTTGCGTTCTTTGTCCGTAAAACGGCTATCTTGATCGAAACTCGTTCCACGGTAAAATCCTGCATCCCCCATTGTGAACGCCTTAAAATACTTCATTGAATAATCATTACCAATACAAACAACTCTAGCGAAACATTTGTAGTAACTGGTAACAGACACGATAAACAAGCGCTTTTATGGATCTTTATACGAGAAATATTCGAATGAAGGTGATGATGCATTTGAAACAATCAGACTGTAATCCAGAGTCAACAATAAAAGCAAAAACTTATTGTTGGATATCGCAAATATACTCATGCGACTCACATACGCTGTTTGGTCTCTATTCTTTCTATTGAAACCAATGAAATTTTTCACGCACATTCATTTGGTGCTAAAAAGTAAGCAAACGATCTTCCAAAGTCATCATAAAAATGGATAAAGCTAGGTAATTAGGCAGTAAACTAGTCGTAAGCACGATAATATCGCATTATGTGTAACTATGTCATCGCTACCGACTCTTTATCACAAACGAGTTTTGCAGTAATATTATACTGGTGCACAGTTAAACATTACTGCAAAATAAACACGATACATACAACAAGAAAAACTTTTTTCATGAAAATCCCTACCAAACATGAACAAAATCCACTCGGATAAAAGATTGAAATTCTTTTCCGCCGTTTTACAACAAAACGTTGGCTCTACTCCAATCGCTGAATAATCCTCTCACGTCCGACAAATTCAAAAATTATCGAGGACGAAGATGCAGCTTCAAATATCACTCAATGCATCTCTCAATGTATAACAGAGATGTCAGCTGAATGACAAGCAGATTCATTGAATCGGAATCCAATGAGATGCATTTTCACAATTCTGATGCTGGATTATACCTCCTCTGGTAGCTATAGGACGGAATCCGTTTTGGCCTCATCGAATTTCAGTAATCGCCTGAAATTTCAGCAAGGAATTAATTCCACAACCGAAAATTTGTTTGGAATTTACCGGTCAAACTTGGGTTCGTTTCCATCACTTAGGGCTCATTTTGAGTTCATCTAGAATTCATTGGGCAATATGGGGGAGTAGCTCAACCACTCCATACTCGTTAAATCAATGATCGAAGTCAAAATTTCATGAAAACGGATGATATCCAGCGCAGTTATTGCTAGCTGCGTGGAAAGGATGTAAATGAAGAAAGAATGTGATATTGATGATAACAGAGAGGCAAAAACTCGTAATGAGCTGTAATTGCTGATTAGATAAATAACTCACAATATGATGAATACAAGAAGACGGCAATTGTAAAATGGTTGAAAACAAAAGAAATTCAGATGCAGAATAACGACTACATCCCCGAAGTTGCGAATAAGAAACAATATCAAATTGCTGATTGCATTAATAAATAAATTGATCAACAACGATAGGGATATGATTGACTATCGTAAGGCATCTCACTAATTAAATGTCGTAATGATCAGAGAAAATAGCAAAGCGAATCAGGATTATGCAACATTATAAAACATTTTAACGCACTCTATTTACTGTACTTACCGTGCCAAATACGGTCACACAATCAATGTCTTATGCAAATGCTTCGTGCAAATTTATCGCTCTAACAAACAAACGTTACTTTATAAAAATGCTTTAGAAGTGAGAAAAATATTTCCATATCTTCCAGAATCCATATTAAGCTGCTTTTCTTGATCGATCAAACAAATGTCGGCTTTGCTGAAAATCATCGCATGCAAATTATTACATGCAAATTATCTCAGTCAGTTTCAACCATCACAATAACAAGAGTCAATTTTACTATTTTTACGAACTGACAAGTTATCGAACGGTTCGCCTTGCAAATGGCTGCGACTGATGGCTCGGTTAGTTGGCTGCAACTGATTGAATCATGGATATCTCCCTTTCCAGAGCCATTACGATATTGCTGAGAGCGGAAAGCTGGTTTCGCTGATATAAGTGATGCCGAAGAATTGGATCGCATTGAGCGAGATGATAACATGATCTAAAAATCTGTCGAAATCGCAAATTTTTGGTAAATTGAATTCATATCCGCATGAATATCGAACCGAGGATTACATGAAATGATTACAAGCGATCAATGAAATCACTCATTAGATTGCAACCAAAACTGCAAAAGAAGCGAAAGCAAAAAGGATGCAAGAAGACGCTCTTTCAAGACTCAAACAACTCAGAAAGGAAGCTCGAATTCGAAAAGCCAAATCCGATTCTTGTGTTGATGAGATTGTTCACATTCAGGTGTGTCTTCGTTTCAGAATCTTTACAATACATTCATTTTGAAGCATTCATCCATCTACGCATCTGTGACTGTAGTTAAAGCTTCGCAATTCTCTCAAACAACCGAATGCTATTTATCTTTATTTTATCGTCCTTTTGCAAATTCCACTCAGTTAAGTTCATACTATTCGTCAACTTACACAGCGCTGAATCTTTTCAATCCTGGTTTGTGTCTTATCAGTCAAACCCGGAATAAACATGTTATGAAGTGTCATCGCTTCTAAGAAGTAGTCATGGGCGGTTAGCTGACTCCAAGTTTCAGTCCGTGAATTAAGCAATCACTTCGTATTTGATAATTCTGGCCCATACTCATTCTGAGTTATGACTGGCGGACATGGTCAACTATATCACCTCAGAAAATCCAGCCGAAATGTCGTTTCGAAAAGCAGAAGTAGTGACCTAAACAGATTCGTCGTTCGTTACTAACGGATGTAGAAGAAATTTTTGAGTTGTTGATGCTTATTTTCAGTAATTTTTAAACTGCCTATCCAGTGCTTATAATGCTTGTGAGCCCGTTCCATCTCGTTCCCTTTCCCATCACATAATTCAACTAATCCATTGCTATTTCAGGGTGGTGGTGAGTTACATTTTGTGAACAACTCCCAAACTCGTGCGTATTATTTGGTGAAAAATGATTCGTGGTTGTATTTGGAGCGTGAGAATGATGGCTCATCAAATACACTGTACATTGTACGCAGATTGTCCGATGGACGGATCCTTACCAAAGCAATGGTCGACTGAACCAAATCTCATGGAATATCGATCTCTTTACACGAATATTTCATATCTTCACCTGTATAAACCTTTTGTAACTACCATAATTGATCAGTTGATCTGAACTGACACGATATGAAAAAGTTTTGCAGTATTTTAAGTGGAAGGTTTGATGACTGATTGAATTCATTCAAGTTTTGAGCATCCAAAATCTCTACGAACTGTTTTACTGTAAAAATAGAACGAATTCACTGCTTAATTAGAGTTTATGATCATATAAAGTTCATGATGAAGATTTTCAAGCTAAGTAAAGTTCCCAAAATTTGCGCCGCACAATCTGCAAATTGCTGAGGTTCCTTTATCGGTGAAGTGACGAATTCCAGACTAATTAGGTCGTTGTATTCGAATTTACCTGAAAATAAACTAATTAGCAACACATCGAATCAATATTTAGGAAGATAATTTGAAGTTGTCTCATTGTGATGAAGTACATCAATGTAGTGCTTTTCTTTGATCGGATATCAATCACCTAACGAGTTGTTGTCAGAGTAAAGAGCTCTCGATTTGGTATTCATATTGTAACGGTGTCATTGAGATCCTTCACTTTGCAAATCTTTCACCGTAGTTCGACAAAGGCTTTCATTCAATAAACTCTTTTAATGGTATCTGTCGTTCCGTTTTCTCGGTTCATTTCATGCAGTTCATGCACGTCCAAAGGATAAAATATTTGCTGTATATTGAAGAAAAATAGAAGGTCGTTCACTGCTTTCACATGTGAATTTCAAAACGAATCAGGGGTTATCTTCAGATGTTGCATTGTTGGTGTGGTGATCTTCTTCGGACGGTACAATAATAGTAATATTAATATCAAATACCAATTGTATTAATAGCAGTGTAGGGATGCTTGGAGAGAAGTGGATATTGTAAATGAATTGAATAAAAATAGATTGAAGTAAATCACGGTAGAATAAAAAGGGAGAGGGTAGACGTTTCGGTATGAAAACACCAGCTTTGGGGAGCGTTAGAGGGTAATAGGAAAGGTTGGGAAATAATTTCTGAGGTTATGCGTGGAAGCACTAAACTATTGTAGCGGTGGGGAGTGGGCTAATGACGGCCTGCCAGATCATCGAAGAGATCAATGGAGCTCCCGATCGTCCGAAACCCTGCTCTATAGTAATGAAATCGCTCAGCTGTATGGCATACCTGTTTTAATTGAGCTGTATATAAGGGAAGATCGCAAAATTGCTCTGTAACATATGTACCAGTCTGAAAGCTGAAAATCTGCTGAATCCGATAGTACCAAGAAATAATGGTGTTGCAGGGCAAACTTGAGGATACAGTTGGTTTGAAAGTGGTACTTATGATAGCTCTATGGTAATAAAATCGCCCTGCTGTATGACATACCTAGCTTAATTGAGCTGTATATAAAGAAAGCATGAAAAATTGCTCTATAATATATACTTTTCTGAAGGCTGGGTAAACCAAGAAGCCGATAGTACCAAAAAACAATGGTGTTACTGGGCAAACTTGAGAATGCAGTTGGTTTGAAAGTGACTCTTGTGATATTGCCGTAGAACTTTACCATTGATCACACCACAGTGATCAATTGTGCACAGTTTGGCAGTATTGAAGAATGGCTCAAGTAGATTGACATGTCTATAGAAAATCAGATACATCTCTTGAAGTAAGCAAAATCCCCCGATAACACTTATAAATTTAGAAAGCTGAGAATCTGCTGAATCCGATGGTACCAAGAAACAATGGTGTTGTGGGATAAGCTTGAAGATAAAGCTAGTTTGAAAATGCTACTTATGATATCCCTATAGCAGGGATCCCATAGGGAGGAAAACGACCCATTTTTGGGTGATTTCGGGGTGTCAGGAGGGTTATTGAGGGAGTCGGGAAATTATTTCTGACATTGTGCGTCAAAACAGTAAATTTTTGTCGAGAGAAGAAGGGGTAATGATGAGCTACCGTACTATCGAAGGAGTTAATGGAACTCCCGAACGTTGGAACCACCGGTTTCCAAGACAGTTTGTATATACCACTCGGATTCATCAATTTTAAGTGCT